CCATGGGCGCAATTGCTAAAGCGAACGTCGGCCAATCGGCTCCAGGCTTGTGAAATGGCGGGGTCCTTGAGTTGGTCAACATAATGCTGCAAAACCAGCCACATCCAACTATTGAGTGGGTTTTCAATAGTAAAGACACAATGCCACGTTTGAGACACTTGGAACAAACGCGCCGTGAATTCGGCTAGTTTGTTTGCACTACGGACCTTTTGGCTTTCAAAGTGACTGAGACCCGGAATACCTAGAGGGCAATTCTGATTTCGCAACGGCCGGGGGGTTGGTGCCCCCTGCTGCCGAAGGTGTTTCGGTATTGGCTTCTCGCGGGCGCGGCTGCCGGCGCCGCAAGGCAGTGCCACATGTATTGCCTGAGGGCGAATGGATGAAACCATCTGGATCAGACATTGCTGTTCTTCGGATTCTGTTAGATCCAAGGTGAGGAGTTGACATTCGGGCGTGTGCTCATTTCTGGGGCCATCAACTGGCAAAATGCCAAAGCCATGTTCATATGCGATCTTACTAAGGCGGCCACATCCAGCAAAAACTTCACAAAAAACAGCTCTTGGTTGCACATTTGAATTCGAAGGCTGTGGAAAAATAAGAAGATCTGATGGAAAAAGATTTGGGTGATCGCTTGGTTCACCCTTCACTCGCTTTCTGTTCGGCTCACTACTTTCCCCAGCGGGGGGGGCTTTTTGTCACGAATGGTCACAAGAATGGTGGGGCTTCGGTTTGAAGCACTGCCAACACACATGAAAACCTCTCTTGCAGCGTTTGCCCTCTTTTGCAAATGGGCAGGATGTGCGATTGAAGTTGTTACAAATCGGCTTCTTGTCTGGCGTCATCTGATGACAGTTTGGTGGCAGTTGCAAACCTTTCTGTTGCCCTTTAACGAAATTGCTCTTTGGCTTGGACCATTTGCCCTTCCCCCCCCCCCTTGGGATGGTCAGAGTGTGAAAGAGTAGGCGGAACCCTTGCAGCTCGAACCATTGGAATGAGACAAAACTGCACCTCAGCACTGTCCATGCATGCGTCTAAGAAGGTGTCCATCGGTTTGGTGCCGTCTGGTGCCTGAGTGAGGCGTCCTCGTGTCTTCTCGGACAGCTTCTTGAAAAGTGTCTTGTCGGCTTCTCGCACTTGTTGCAATGTGACAGGCATAGCGTTTGCTGCTGGTTCCTTCTGCAAGACTTCAAACACTCGCTCATGCCACTCTTCCATCCGGGTAAAAGAACACAGTTTTGCTAAATCGAAAGCTCTTGACCTACGATTCAAAGCCTGCCTCACCTTGAGCTCTCCAGTCACGGCCGCATCGGGTGTCTGGTCCTTGTGGGCTACTTTCAGCGAACCTGTGGCATCAAAGGCAAGCTTAAGGTCTTTCTGTGTATGCGTCACTTCACTAGCGCGACTTGTCAGCTTTTCCCATGGAATCCATTCTAAGGTCTGGTCCGTGCTCATCTGACAGACCAGATCAACAAGCTTGTGACTCGGTTCGGTCTCTGGGCTGAAGTGAATGCCTTTCAAACGATTTTGCTGTTCCTGTAGCCGTGCATTCCGCTCGGCAACTGGCATACGAGACGGCTCAGCGGTTTCATCCCTTTCAGTCCTCTGTTTCAAATCGCTAATGGCCAAGGTGCAGCTCTCGAAGAAAAGGCGCCTTAGCGGGATGGTTTCCTCAGTGGACGGTGCACGATGCATCACCTTGGTCAAAGCTTCGATCAGTGGCGTCTCATCTGGCTGCCCTGGTTGATAGGACGTCACGAATGCATATGAACCGAACGATGTGACACCGCCGGCTTTCAAGAGTTCTATCACATCTGGACTAAGGCCTATCTCCAAAGCGCGTGCCTTAAAGGCTGCGTGTGAATCGAGCCCCGAACTCATTGCTCTTCTAACTACCCTGACTGGCTTACAAGACAGTAAAGTCACATGTTGTCTGGGTTACTCTATTCCGAAGTCTATTAAGTTATTATTATGCAAAGTAGTTGACTTAGACGTGCAACTTTTGTCTAGAATAATCATCTCTGCACTGCCTTCGAGCCGTCACTGCTGCAGAGGCGTATCAACACTTTTGTCCGGGAGTTTGATGTCCCTGGTGTGTTGACTGGTTACCTCTGCTGATGTGATTTAGGTTGGCAGTGCATGCACAGTTCTTGTTCGCTTGATAAGAGAAAACTACTCGATTCATTCTTTTTATCCTTCAGCCTATGGTCAAAGCACTTCTATGGGCGGCGTTTCCACCGACCAAGTCGACAAGACACTGCCTAGCTCCAAACGGTGGCACGTGGCTGCCAGTGCAACTTCGCTTCGGTCAGCCCAAGTGGCTATACAGGCCATGGAAATTCGGCCCTGTTCCATTGTTGTCAAGAAGGCGAAAATGCGCGTCTCGATTTTGAAGCTGCGCCACAAGTCACACAGGAACGTGCACGAATCATAGCTTCTGCAAAAACGGTCTAGCTCGAAACTACTCATAGCTCCGGACCCTCACCGTACAGCAGCCAAAAGAAACAAGCAACCCAACCGATGACGAAGCCCAGGATCCAGGCCTTCCAACTGCTCGTCCCCGCAGAGCGTTTCAAGTCTCCTGGTCCAAGAATGGCTTTTCCTCGCTTTACCGGCTGGGCCATGGGCTCGTTGGCCAAGTCCGTGAGCCTACTTGGTTTAAACCCTCCTTATTTTATTGATTAATGTCACTGACTGGGGGCAGAAATTACGCCTATTTCTAAACTAGAGAGTGCAACGTACTCTTCCCAGGCCGTGCTAGAAACTGCTTGAGGAGCAAGACGCTGATTGCGGTTTCGTTGCCGCTGGATGCGTTTGTTCCAAACGCTGTTCCGAATGGCAATTTTCCGCTTGGTTTCGGCTGCTTGGGTCCGCGCGCGCGCGCGCGCCTTTCTGGGCTTTGGAAACGGCCGTCGGAGGCGCGCGCGCGCGCGCGGACCCAAAGCCAGAGAAACAGTGGCCTCATGGAATCTTTTAACCGAAAGTGGAAAATTACCAGTTCTGAAGCTAATGAACTAACAAGCTGAGCCTGTATCTTCTTTTTGTCATCACGGCCTCTGGCTGGTGGGCAGGTTACGTGTGCCTGCATTGCATACAAATAGGCATGTCAAAAAAGTTGCCTCCCGCTTCAACTTCAACGAAATTGTGGGTGTACTTCCGACCGCACACGAACTTGCCTACACCTCCTTGAGTCAAAACATGAACCACCCCTGAATGCCGGTGCACACGAAGCTTGTTCAGCAAATCCAGGGGCATGTCATCCCAAGAAGGCCGCACCATGTTTGGGTGTCGTGCTACGGCCACTGCATCTATTCCAGCGTCACTTTCCACCTCGCTGTCGTGGTCAGAGTCCTGATCTTGGGCCTCCACGCGAATCAAATGCTCCACCCTGGCAGCTTTCGAGGCATCCGGTTGGAACTTTTTGTTCTTGATGTCGTTGCACATCTGGTAGACTGTCCCCATGAGCCTCGTCAATTCGTCTCTGGCGTACACCACAGCTGACTGATTCTCCTTCGTCAAATGATGCCCCATCACCAAACGGTCAGGGATGGAGAGGTAATCGCCTTTGCTGACCCAAGATAGCAGAGTGCACTTGAGGCTGTGGCACCCAATTCGCTCCAAGTCCTCTGTTGAAAAACCTGAGCTTTCAAGAAACTCTCGCAAATAAAGCTGAGCCTCCCCTGTCGTCATGCGCCTCTCTAGCCAGGAACTTGAAATCTCACTGAAAGCTGGAAGGGCCGGATCACACGTCAGCCCATGCTTTGCTCTCAGATCCATCCAGTCCATGGCCCATGCATGCCTTGCAAAAAACTTTCCAAGACTGATGATTGGCAGCAATCGCTTTCGCCTCTCCTCGCTGTGCGCTGTCTTGAAGGCAACGGACTCCGCCTCAACGAGTTGGATGTCGTTGGACTGCGTCACTTCGAGACTGACGAGATGGATGGAGTCCCCAAATCGTGTACAGGAACCTAAGCATAACAAGAAATGTCCTGCAATGATCCTCCAATGTTCATATGGAGCCTGTGTTGCTACATTCTCCAGGGCCACCACCATCCGCGTTGTCAAGGGTTTTGCTTGTTGGAGGGGTCTCTTCAATGCCAAGCAAGCTCGAGCTGCTCCCCGTACTCTTGAAGACAAAATATCTTCCAAACTATGATACAACAGACCCGTCTGGTGATGTAAGAATGTCCATGCCTGCAGAAAACTGGAAGCAGTGGTTGGGGCCCCCTCGTGCTTCAGGTATTCCATATACCTATACAAAACACTCTCTGTTGCCGAGACTGCTGGACCCAGGCCATGCGCAATGCACCATTCGCTAAACCTCCACAAGGCCGCTGCGCGTTTGGCTAAGGTTGCAACCGCTTTTCCATGGAAGGCATCACTGAAAGAGGATTCCCAGTGTGACTCAGGTGTGAACAACTTCACGGCAGAGACTAGACACGTTCCCAACTTGCTAGCTTCTGGGTCTGCCAAAACCAAAGTCTTGAGCTTCCTCATAGCTTCCCAACGCACTTGGTCGTCAGACTTCAGCAGAGCTGAATGCTTCAGCCTCTGGAGAGCTCTGTGAGCTTCCTGTGTCCCGGCTCTTGTTGCGGTGCTCGAACTTGGTGATGCTACTACTGCAGAGACCATGCCAATGCGAGGTGGAGTGAGCTTGTCGATCGGTTTCAACCAAACTGGCTTGAGAAAATCCTGATATCCGCTGTTAAAAACTTTCAAGGTTTGAGACCGCTGAAGCTGTAACCAAGCATCGAAAACAGCAGGGTGCATGTCCGCCTGGGTTTGAGTTAACACAGGAAAAACCTTTTGGCTCTTCTTTGGCCGGTCAAGTGGCCCTTCATGGATAGGAACCGAAGGCTGAGCGTCATCTTCGAGAGGGCTCTCAGGCGTCACAGGTGAGGCCCCCTCTACCATTCTCCCCCGGCTACCATCGACTACCGATGTCCTGTTTTGAAGGGTTATTTTAACCCTCCGCTCCCTCCCAGCCAGTGCTACGCGGAGGTGAATGCATACGGTAGATTTTTTTTTTGAGAGTGGTGTGTTTTCTCTTTTGAGTTTCCTTTCAAAATGAAAGGATATTAAAAATGTGTGTGTGTGTGTGTTTTTTCCCTTTTCCCCATGCCCCACAAAGGGGCATTGTGAAACTTTAAAGGACTGTTTCATCCCCTACGGGTATGTGCACCTTGCTCTAGGTCCACTCAACTGCAAACATGAGACACTCAAAAACCTTCTCTGCGCACAGAAAGCTTTCAAGTTTACTCGTTTCTTGGCCTCGTTCCAATCTCCACCGTGGAAGAATTCCTGTCCTTGAAAGAAAACGGCTGCGGGCATCTGTCAGTTCACCTTAGACATAGGCAAGTACAAGTGCAAGTAGAAAAACAGTACGTCGTCTCAATTTCCTTAGGAAAGAGGTAGCTATCCGGAAAGTCGGTCAAGCAAAACTGGATTCCCAAGGCTCCTGCTGTCCAAGACCATCTTCACCCAAAAACAGTATTTCACACACAAGAAACTTGAAAACAAATGCACAAGACAGCTTTAAGCAATTTCACAGTGAATGCTTCCAATCCAGATTCCAAAAAGCACAAACGCACATGCATTCAATTCTGCAAAACTCAAAACACTGCACCAAAGAACAGAAGGCTCCTAAATCAACAAGAAACAGTCCTCCTACACCTCCGAACCTAGTCGGACCTCAACGACTGCTCTCGGACACGTCCTTCCACTAAAGTTCTGTCCACATGACAAAGGTTCCAAATCTCCGTGCTAACAATACAAAGCAAAACGAAACTCCTCCGAACGAGTTCGGACACAAACGAACAACAACGGAAACACACAAAACAGATTCAGAAACTCTCCCAAGTCAAAGTGCATCTCGAAAAACTGTTCGGGAAAAAGCACATTCGACAAAGTTCAAACTTCAGCAGGCACAATGCCCAAAGCTTCCGTCACCTTCCAATTCCCAACGGACGAAAAATGCAAGAAACACGCACGATGAGCATACTCCCCTTCTCGAACTGAACGTTCACCGATCGGAAGTTCGTCGTCATCGGCGTCTCGAGACAAGCCCCTCAACAATGCTGCCTTATCTTCATCCAAACCAGGTACAAGCCCTACAGCATTACAGAGGTTCAGCCACATCTCAATGAGCTTGCAACTCTTCGTGAGACCGTCGGACGGGTTGGAAACACCTTCCCAATGTTCCAAGGTCACGCGGCGTCGTCGATGGAGGTATTTGACGTAGTGTGCGCGCAATTCCATGTGCTTGACACGTCGGAGCAAACCTTCCATGGTCGATATGGAAATCGCCGCTTTCCCATCGTTGTAAAGGTGAAGCTTCATGCTGCCGGTGGTCTTGGCTGGCATGCCTATCTCGTCGAGAGGAATCCCTTCACGAGCTGTCTCGATCAGCATCCCCAGAGCCACAAGTTCTTTGCTAGCCTCCGTGATGGCGATCGCTTCTGCTTCTGCAGACGACAACGCAGGAACCTCTTGTCTCCTACTGAAACACTTCAGGCAACATCCACGCCAAGAAATGACAGCACCAGAAACGCTGGTCACATTCCATGAAGCATCACAAAAACCTACAACGACCCCTTCTTCAGTCAAAACGGGTGGTGAACTAGCAGGCATCTGCTGCACAAAATGCAAATGACCCTTCAACCAACAAGAAAGCTACGAAGACAAATCTCTGCCGGAACATGGGGCTTCGACTGAAATCGACTCAAAAACCCAACAGGAAAAGCAAGGTCTGCCCTGGAGAGTGCTGCCCACGCAAGTTGTCCGAGGACCCTACGGTAGCGCTGTGCTTCCGTGGCGGACAGCTCAGGAGTCCCGAACTTTTTCTCTGCGTCTTTTAGCAGCTCCTCCAGCTTGGGCATGGCTGAACCGGTGGATTCTTTGAGCTTCTCTTCCCATGAAACAAAGATGCCTTCCATGTAGCTCCTGGAAACTCCAAAGTACAGACATTCCTCTCCGTCATGGCGTCTGTATATCGTGCGGCCTAAGAATTCCAGGAGTCCTCTCTGCCCGGACGGAATGCTTCCCGTGCGTTTGATCTTCCAGATCTTCTGAAGTGCACGCAAGAAGTTCTCACCTCCTTCAACGTCATTACTGGCTATAAGCAAGTCGTCAACGTAGACTAGGACCAACAGAAACTGGGTGTCAGTCTTCACTCTGAACAACGTTGATTCAAAGGTCTCGTCTCCGCCCAAGTCACGGATCGTTCTCTGGAGCTCTAAGAACCACAACAATGGAGCCCTTCTCAAGCCATTCATGGCCTTCTTCAGCCACAAAATGACTCGTTGGCCCTTCACAGTGATATTCGGGGGAAGCAAAACCAAATCACAGGCGTCGGCTTCAACAGGCGCATACATGAAGGCTGTCGACACGTCAGCTGTAAGAAGGCTCATGCTTTCCACCACTGAGAAGGCAAGGACCACTCGCAGTGAGTCTAAGCTACTTGTAGGGGCATAGATGCCAGACCGAAACGCGCTTTCAGCACCAGAGGCGTAATCGCGAACGACCAACCGGGCGCGACAAAGGACAGCAGTCTTTTGGGTAAAAACCCACCTCGCTGTGAGGATTTGAACTTCATGTTCAACTGCGATGGTGCGACCCTTCTTCTCAGGATAGGTGTCACCAACTTCCAATGTCTCCAGTTGCACCATTTCTGTGCGAATGCCCTCAACCACCTGGTCATGCGCTATGGGGTGTCCTGTCAATTCATCACACACTCCCTCAGCAATCTGTACATCTATTTGGTTTCCCCCAAACTGAACAGAGATGGACGAACCTTGACCTCCTGCCTCGACGTCACCTCCTACCTCATCACACCTCGAGGCACCTGCCAAGAACTCATTCATTGCTTCGTTCTGGGCATGTTGGATGACTCGATCCAAGACAACATCAAGGTCCATAGGTTCTCCAGTTCTGGAGCTAAGCTCCCATCTGGCAAAGGAATTTCGACTTCCATGTCTCCATCCCCTTCTTCACCTGCAACCTCCCCACCTGCACCTGCACCACCTGAGTCCTCAAGTGGCCTCTTCACTGACCTCTCCGGATCATGAACTGGTGGCGGAGGAAGCGCTTGTTCGCCACTTCTGGGATCAACATATGCACCCGCAAGCAGAGGAAACAAGACGTTCACATCATACCATGGTGATTGGTCCCTAACTCTGAAATTGTGACCCTTGATCACTTCCCTCACTCCAGTGGAGTCAACAGAAACCGGGTAAACCAAACAACCACCACCTGTGCTGTACCTGGCCCCCAAATAAGCACCAAGCACCATCCTCTGACCTTGCCACTTCTGTGCATGAACTGGCTTCACGAAACCCATGATCCCAAAAGGAAAAGTTCGTGGTATCTGACCTCCTCTCTTCTCTCTCAGAGATTCCAACGGAGTGCCACCCCACTTGCGCTCACAAAAACCATTGAAAGTCCTGTAGGTGTACCCAACCAGATACCCCATCAAAGGTGATTCCAAAGCTAACCTCATGCCTAAATGAGCTTCCAAAGCCAACCAATTGGTGAACAAACCCTCTTTCATGATCCCCACAGCACGTTCTACACCCTTGGCCTGTGGACGATTCTCTGAAATGTTCCTCCAATGGAAGCCTCGACAGTTGGACTCTCTCAGAGACCTCTGCATCAGGTTCAGCAGGTAGGCTTCGTTGTCAGTGGCCACTTCCAAAGACAAACCTCCAACACCGATCTCATTCAACACAGAAACAGTGGACTTCACGTCCTTCTCCCGGTCACCACCTAAAACCACCATACCGATCATGCCAGTCTGAATCATGAGCAAAACCAACACCTTCCAGTGCCTTCCTCCTACAAACATGATGTCAGCTGCAAGATCACATGTGCTAGATTCCTGGTCCTTTCGTCTCCTCGCGGGTGTCCGACCTCTTGCCTGAACACACGCATCACACCCTCGATCATACGGCCAATGTCCTCGACACTCGTGCTCGTACAACAAACTGCCTTCCAGTTCGGGTGATGGATCTTCCAGATCCGACGAATGTGGACCCTCAGGATCATAATGGGGCAACTCCCCGGGTGGTTCGTCAACCTCGGAACCTGCCTCAACCATCGGACCTTCGGCCTCCGCCTCTGGACCAACCTGATCGGGAATGGAAGGAGTGTACTCCTCCATGTCATCACTCTCAACATCAACGGTTTTCGGCAACCCACGGAACATCCGGACACGCTCGGACTCCTCCGAAACCCCCGGAAACCCTTCTTGGTTCCTCCAAAACGCAAGCAAGGGAGCAAAATCCGTCTCAGATCCTTCAAAAACCTCCGAAAAAGCCTCCGAATCTCCGTCCGGACCCTCGGAAAAGAAGTCAAAATCCAAAAACTGGCTTTCACAGCTCACCAAAGACGAGTTCGACTCAACCTCCCAGGTGTCAAACTCAGAAGTGAAAGAGGCAAAATCCTCTTGATCATCCTCCTTCCCCTTCTCAAACGTATTGGGCTCATCTTCACAAGACAAAGTTGGAAAAGAAACACGCTCATCACCACAAAAACGAAACATACGACACACATACGAAAAAGACTGCAATGAACCAGGCTGAGTGCACATCACTTCTCGACCCTTAGTTCTGGACTTTCCTGCCTGAGAAACTGGTCGCGCCTGCTCTGCCAGTGCTTCGTTTGTCGTTTCACCATCGTTTCTGTACTGAGTATGTGGTGTGGCTGTGCTTTCAGTGCCTCGTGCTTCTGTGGTCTTGGTCTCTCTGATCTCTCCTTCTGGGTTCGATGGGGGACCTTTCACCTCATCAACCTCCATGGGGGCTGGACCTTTGGTCGCTTTGCCACTGCGTCTGTTCTGACCTGATTTGGGAATCAAATCAACCTTCAACCACCAAGCGCGCTCACATATCCTCAGTGGAAAAGTGGTCCCCTGACCA